CAGCAGTCTGGAGCGAGAGATACCTGCACTAGGCCACTTTCTATGCAGAGCTGTACAACGTCTTCTCAGCCGCCTGGAACTTGTTTGCTGTTTACCTATAGTCTCCATTGTAGTTCCTTTTTTTGGTTACCAAAATGTCGATTATAGGATCCTAACCATAGTCTGGTTAACCAAAAAAACGAACTACCGTACAATGGAGACTATAGGTAGGGGTTCAGGGTTTGAGGTTTTAGGGTTTAGGGTTCAGGGTTTAGGGTTGTGAAAAGGGCTTCGGAGGGTTTCAGACGGAGGGCGCCAAGAGAGACGAAGGTGCCATTGATGCAGGGCGTATACTTTGCCAAAATACCCAGATGCTATTGTTACTACTGCGGTTTTATTGGTTTCTTGTGTAAATGCGATCGTGGATGGTGTGTCGGGGGCGGTCTCAGGTTTGTGACCTTGTTAGAGTCCTGGCTGACGGGTGATCATTGTTGTTTGTTCTATCGCTGCTGTTTCTTTTTCCTGGATCCCAGGCAGCCTGGGGCTGTCAGAAGTCGACCAAGCCCCGCAGGAATTACATTGAGCAGTTTAGACCCAAGATGTTACACCCATAAGCCTTGAACCTTGAAGGGCGTTCTAAGCCCCTGACACCCTAAGTCTCAGAGCCATTCTCTAGGTCCACCTAAGTACCTTCTACATGCACACCTGCCTACCTGCTGATGACAAATATGAGAGCCCCTTGAAAGAGTCCTGGATCGAGGGGTCGCAAAACACCATCAAGTATCAGAAGGTCGAAATGACTTACCTGCGATCCAAAAAAACAGGTGTTAGAGACAATGCAAAGGTGGTCTGTCTCAGGTCCCTGGAGGATCTGTTGTTATTCGTTTTGTCACTGGTCATCTGTTCGCAATCCGACGTTCCATCGCGACACCTTCAACAGTAGGGTCGTACATTAGAGCTAAGAGCTATCTAAAATCATATAAGCCCCCACAACCTTCCTTGCACCCCATAGCCATAGCCCTTAGAACTAACAGCCCCAAGCCCTAAACCAGGCATGTAAGCCTGAAAACTCAAAACCCGAAGCCGTAACCCCACAGCCAGTTACCCGTCAACCCTTTAGAAACCACAGAGCACATCCTAAACCCCGAAACCCTAAGCCATACTTGTGCCAGGGGGCTGTCGCCGCGAGGCGTCTGTCCACTTCCGAGGCCACGAAGATTCGCTTCCCACACTCCTCGAAACTTACCTGTGGTTTGTAGGGAATGGAAGAAGGCTAGTAATAGCCCTAAACCCTAAACCCTAAACCCTAAGCCCTAAGCCCTAAACCCTAAGCCCTAAACCCTAAACCGTTCCCTACTAACCAAAGGTAAGGAAAGGGTTCTTCAAGGCTGGGTTCCTGATTAGTACCCTGAAAAGACTCCTTCAAGGGCTCCTTAAAGGGTTCTAGAAGGGATCTATGGGGGTTCAGGGCCTAATTATTGGGTATGAAGCGGTAGTACTATGGTTCTATAAGGGTTTCTGGTCTAGGGTTCTATGAGGGATCTTTAAGGTTCTATAGGGGTTCAGGGTCTAGTAGGTTCTTGAGTAATATCCTTTTGTCCTTGTATTAGGGCCCCCTTATTAAAACCGAGTAGTAGAACAAGGGTACCGTATTGTAAAGGGGGTACTCAGGAATTTAGGTTCCTTCACATGATTCGGATGGAAAGGTTCAATAATAAAGGCCTTGTTCAGGTTTTCAATTGATCTGTAGCGGTTCTGAACGATTTTTGAAGGGTTCCTTCAAGGGATCTGTAAGGGTTCTTTTTAGGGCTGCAAAGCCCTATCTCACAGCAGGATGCTTTGTTGTTGCTTCGTGCTCTTGGATTTGTCGAGTGGTACGGGAGCGTGGCAGAGAGTTACATTTCCGGTCCCTCAATGTGCCGTTCATTGTCTTTGGATTTGAGGTTTAGAGTTCTATTTTGGCATCAGAGTTTGGGTCTAGTGAGCGTGTCGTTTTGAGTTTCAAGCCTTGGGGGGCAGCCAACCGAAATCGTAGGCCCAGGCTCCGCTTTCTCATGACGGTTTGCCAGTTGCAAGCTGAGGCTCAGCTTCACCTGGAGTGTGTTGCAGCGAGGGTCTGACCACATTACATAGACGGGTCTGGTTTCCTGTGCCGTGTATTCTTCTCGGACTTTGCACGGGCCGCAGGTACAGGGTTGCTCTAAAGTAGGTAAGTATGCAAACAGCCACCTCGCCTTGCCAAACGTGGACCCCGACATGTCTTCCCTGGGATGAACTTCTAGGAAGCCCCAATTGGGATCCCTACTCCAAAATGCCGTCAAAAATGGTCTTAAGTAGCGCCAAAAGGAATTATTTCTGGACAGTCATCATCATGGTTCCTAGTATCGAGGCCCTACTGTGCTGACAATAGTTACTCAGCATGTACTTTTCAGATACTTTGATCCCTTCGACAGGCCCCTTATGGATCAATTGCAGAACCTTCGCAGCACGCATGCAGCAACTGTTTTGATCTCTCAAGGAACCCTCCCAACCCTAAACCCTAAGCCCTTTCGGATCCTTTAGAATGAGCACTTGCAGCTTCGAGCTTGATGTGCGGAAGAGCTTGGCTCCTTTCAGCGACAGCTAACATAAGAGGAAGGTCTTTCACAGATCAGCCTTACACGGGATCCCCAAACCTTTTCCAAGAGCAGACGGTTTAGGGTTTAGGGTTGAGGGGATTTAGACATGTACTAGCATCTTTAAGCTGTTTCGATTATAGGTTAGCACCATCTAAGTTTGAATCTAAGCCTTGCACGCTTACCATTATTGAGGGCACTCAGATGCCTCAAATTTAGCAAGATTCTTCCATAGCGTTCCTCACTATGAGTATAGTGCAATACTCCAAAACCCTGGTCAAATGATTTAGGCCCCCGACAGTAGGAGCCCAATAAGGGGATTAAGAGGCTTGAAAACCTGCAGCCCCAGAACCCAGGTTCCATGCTCCTAGCTCCGACAACGAGACCCAAAGCGCCAAACCATCAAACCCCGAAACCCCTAAACCCCTAAACCCTACACCCCGAAGCCCCCCCCAAAAAAAAGAAGTTAAACAGTTAAACATGAGTATTACATGGGTCCATAATGTGCTTCACCTCTACAGGCCCTCAGAGGGCAGGCTGCTTGCAGGAGAAAGGCCGCCACTGTAGGTTAAAAAAAGCCCTAGAAGCCCTAGAACCCTAAAGCCGTAACATCTCAACCCCTAAACCCTAAACCCCTAAGCCCTCAGCCCTAGAAGCGCAAAGCCCTAAAGCCGTGGACATCTGACGCCCTGATCCCTGATACCGTGAGGCTCTCCGGCCCCAAAGCCTAAATTCTGCACAATCCTATGGCTCAGGGTTCCTTTGAGGGATTCCTTTAAGGGTACTATGGGGGTTGAGGGTTTAGGGCCTAATTTGGGTACATGGGCTCCATGTACGTATGATATTAAAGTCTATAGCTGGGGCCTAGGGCTTAATGTACCTATGTAGGACTGCTCTTCAGGCCCTAAGCATATACTATGTATGCGTATAAGGATCCTTAGGGCAAACCGCTTGCATGATCGGCTGCGCCCCTCTGCTTACCGTGGGCCTCACGATTGCTCTGCTCCTTCTCTCTGGGCTGAGCCTCAGCGACGCTCGGCCGCAGTTTAGGGTTTAGGGTTTATGACGAAATTAGGGCTTCAGAAGGGCTAAGAGGGTTTCTCCCGCCGCATGTGTTTGGCCTGAACGGGTTTGACAGTGTTCCTTTCACACTTTCAGATTTAGGACTCAGCGCTACAACCAGCGAGAAGGGATCTTTAGAATTAAGGACTCCGTATGAGAAGTCCTTGTTTTAATCTTTCGTTAATTCACCCTGGTTTAAAATATACTATTCTACACTACAGTATACTATACCATATGAACCAGGCCTTTACATTGTTAGGGTTTCCTGATTGAAGCACCCCCAGACTTCGCGATTAGTAGTTCGGAGGGCAGGCTGCAGTTATCACCTGGCAAGCCAAGAAATCCAAGAAAGGAGGCCTTGACCTAAATGGGTAGTTCTCTAAATTAGGGTCTCTGTTTACGTCCCAGCAACTTGATACCGAACCCTTATAAAAAGGACCCTCAAAGGCACCCCGGTCTAGGGAACTGCCGCTGAACCCCAAACCCTAAAAGTCTGGAATTTGAACACCGGAACCTCGATGTTGAATCGTGAACCAGGTTGGTTGGCATAGGGGTCGTAAGATGTAGTAGCAAGATCCCAGTATAGCCCGGTATAGTATAGTATATTCGCAAACCTGTTCCAACGCTTACAGACATAAGTGAAGCTCTTTAGAAACCGCTCAAGACGCCGAAACCTGGTCTAATTCATAAGACCCCTATAACAGTAACGCCTCGGAGCACAAGGGATCTGCTCATGATGTGCCGTCGGGAGTTGTAGAGTTTAGGGTGGTCTAAGAGTTTGGGGCTTGTTTAGGGTTTCCGGCTTAAGTATTTGCTTAAGAACCTAGGAAAGGGCCCTTTTGGAGTTCAGGGTTTGGGGCTTAGGTTTTAGGTTTGGGTCTTAGGGTTTGAGGGTTTACGTTAAGGTTACAGGTTCCCTGCGTCTGACATCTTTCGTTTCCATGGCCGCAGACGACGAGTATGCATCAAGCGCTGGTTGCATCCCGTCAGTCTATTCTAGACGAGCTTTGGGGAAGTTTGAGATCTGAGTAGCTCAGCCTTCCGGAATTTTGAGCTTCAAGGTGAATGGTGTTCGTGTCTAGGCCTCCGGGACTTGGTAGGGTTTTTTGGATGTCAGGTTTGGCCGCGAGCTTGCCGATGCAAGAGTCGTGTCAACATCACCGACATCACAGAGGGATATTCGGATAAACATCCTTGGCGCTAGCTAAACCTAAGCCTGTCAAGTCCTGAAAACCAAGAACCCTACTCAAATCAACAAGTGTGAGGATGGCCTTGGAGCGAGAAGTCAGGGGCAGCTTAGCATGGGGATTTTTTAAAAAAGCCGCTGCATCAGCTTGTCCCGCCATGCCAGACTGCTGCCGTTGTGGGAGTTATGCACCTCAAGCTTTTCACTGCGCATGTACAGGTGAAGACAAGGCTGTTTATGTCTGCGGAGAGGATGCCTGCCGCAGGAGTGGCTGTCCTGATTGCGGAAGATATGTGGCAGACGGAGAAATCTTGACGGAATCTGGCACCGCGACACGACCCACCGATTCAAGCACAACAGTGCCCCGTCCCAGCAGGGGCAACCTGTCAGAGGATGGGAGTTCTTGCTACGAAGCTGCCGGTACCATGGGCGCGGAAGCAACTGAAGGTGTTCGGATGCCGGCAGAGAGCAAGTACTTAATCTTGCTTGATCTCCAATACACTCTTCTTCGGTACGATGGACGAACAACTAGCATTCGTCCGTTCGCCAGAGAGTTGGTTCTGTTGCTTTTGCAAAAGCAGAAGGAAGGCCTTTGTCAGCTTGGCTTCCGCAGCACTAAGGCCGCTAAAAATGCCATACCTCTCGTGGTGGATTTCCTCCGACAGACGACATCTTGGGAATGGGTTGCTGACAGTGTGCATGGGGATCGAATTTTGCAGGACACCTCGACGCCTGGTAGAAGCGTTTGGCTCGTTCATGGTGACCTAAGTCAGCAGAATCCCTTGGCACGCCACGACAAGTCGCAGACGCCAATGCAACTCTTGGATTTGGACACTGTGGTATATGAATTCGAGGACATCAGAGATGGCACGAGATTCACAAGGTCCTTACTGGTTTTCGTTACATGCGGCGGAAGTACACTCGGCACGCATGTCGATGAAGGCAGTGCGCGTAATATACTCAAAGTCCCAGGATGGAGATGTCTTCCTGAAGATGACCACCTCCAGCGCTTGGCAAGCTACTTTCTTCACTTCTTCCTGCGAAGGCCTTCCGACACACGTGTGCATTTGCAGGAACATGTGTTCGATCAGAGATACGTTTAATTTTGCCAGCGCTGAGGCACCTTTAGATTTTGCTGCATTGCATCCATGCTAAAACGCACCGGTCCGCTGCTAGGAAGCCGGCCGCAGAAGTAGTGCGATGATCGTGTTGCCTGCACTTCTTCGTGTTTTACATTCTAGCATCACCCAGAGTAGCATGTTCATCACGATCATCACCGTCACTACCGTTGCAGCCATGATCAGCAGCTCACGGTTTGTAGTCAGATCATGGTTCGTGTGTTTGCGAGACATCATTGCCACTTGCATGGTGACTCTTGTCGACTGGGTGGCATTGCAACAACCACGTTTGTTCGGGCTTGTAGACTTGTAGACAGCATCGATATCGTTGTTTTTGCAGTAATTGCAAGGACTGGCAACAGCATAGTTTTTGGTGTCAGCACAAGCCGAGGCGTCTGGACCCCGTTGGAGCAGAGATGTTTGGGAGGATCGGGGGGGGGGGGGGGGGGGGGGGGGGGTTGGGGTTTAGGAGTTTAGGGTATTTTGGACTACAGGGTATATAAGGCTTTTCTTGGCCTGATTCAGGGTTCATGTTTGCAGTTTAGTGTGCATAAGATTTATATTATAAGTTTCTGGGTTCATAGGGCTTGCGGAGTTTATGGTGTTTTGTGGCCTGACAGGGTTTAGTGGGTTGGCTTTTCTGCTTCAATGCCAGTCAAGAAGAAATGAGGCATCGTGGTAGCAAGACCTGAGGCACCAATAAGATAGACCGAATCGAATTGCACTGGGACCTTTTGTGGTGTATTTCGGTGCAGCCGTAGATAAGCCGTGCTAGACGAAAGTGCAAGCAATACGAATAAATCTTTACAAGTATCCGTGGGTCCGCAAACTCAGCTTCATGGCCCTCGAACTTCTCCCAAGCTCGTCAAACCCTGAACGCTAAACCCGAATCCACGAACCCGGAAGCTTGCAAACCTGAGCACTCGTTCAGGCCCTGAAACCCTAAACCCAAAACCCCAAAACCCTAAACCCCAAAACCCTAAACCCTAAACCCCAAAACCCTAAACCCCCAAAACCCTGAACCCCAAAACCCTAAACCCTAAACCCCTAAACCCCAAACCCCAAACCCCAAACCCTAAACCCTAAACCCCGAGAACCTTTCGAACTTTGGAGCCCAGGAGGATCGACCTGCTGGCGAAGAGCAGGACCCCTGGCAGAGAGAAGTCTCCGGGATTTATGCTTTAGCTTATGAGGCTTAGGGGTCTCGGAGACCCTCTTTGAACTGTGGGGTCGGCCGGGTAAATGTATAGCCTTACCTGCATTACTTAGATCCCCAATACCTAAACTTTAAATTTCTTGGGTTCTTATAGTGAAAGTAGGAATCGGAAAGTTTGATTTCTTGTTTCTGTGGCTTATTGGGGGAGTAAGTGGCAGAGAGAAGACTCCGTTTAAGTTTAGAAGCTTTTGATCAATAGTACCAGGGAAACTGCGGTAAAGCTCGAACCCGAGCCCCTACGCCCCAAACCTCCGAAGCCCTAAACCCAAAGCCCTTGAACCTAAACCCTAGATTCTAAGCCCTACAACCTTCCAAGCCTTCAAACCCAAAACCCCTACCCAAGCCCTACACACTAAACATCTAGACTCTGAACCTTGCAACCTACCAATAAACCCTAACGTCTAAAACCGTCATCCTTGCAGTTCCCTCATAGAAGCCCTGGTAGTCCCTTAGCGGGACCTTTTTTACAGAACCCTAAAGGAACCCTTTAAGGGGGACCCTGAAAAAGAACCCCAAAGACTACAGTTGACCATAAAAGACCTTTATAGAGAACAGTAAGAAGCCCGAAGGTATCACAGGAGAAAGCAGACTCTGTCAGAGCGCCAGCGCGTCTGCCGGCGCTCCTGGCCGGTGATCCCTCAACCACCGCTCCTCAGTGCAAGAAAGAGTTTGTAGCATAGCCTGGTTGAGTCTAGTACAGTACGATCATACAGTATATATAGTATGATATTATTTAAAGTGCATAGCATAGCCTAGCATAGCATAGCAACATAAAATGTACACATATATATATAGGGGGGGGAGATTTTCATTCATTTATATAGTCTAGTCTAGCATAGGACAGTATAGTATAGCCAAGTGTAGCATACCATTGTATAGTATACCAGAACAGTTGGTAGGGTCAAGTCGTATAGTAGCGTATGGCACAGTATAAGATAGCGAATTAGGAATGATATTACCTTCTGATGTTCACTTTAGTGATACCGGTATGTATTTGAATGTATCCAGTTAATACACATACAATATGAGCCTTCACCTATCCTGACCCCAAAACCCTATAGCGAGACATTCAGAACTGCAGTCTGGATTATAGGCAAATGGGAGTCGTTTGAGTTTTTGGGTTTCCCTGGGTAGGACACATAAGGTTTGGGGGTTAAATCATCCTAGCCGAGAGATTCTGGAAGTGTTGTTACTTTGCCATATGCCTTGGCTCAGAATTCAGGGTTTCGCTTTTAACCCAAGGATCACAGAGCTCATCTGGCGGTTTGGAAAACTAGCGTTCCTTGAAGCTAGGGCGGTCTTGTTCTAGACGGCTAACCATGAATTAGGTTACACCACCCTAAACCCTAAAAACGGTTTAGGGTTTAGGCCAGGAGCCACGTTGGAGTTGCAAGGTGTGCCCTAAGCTCCACAAGCTTCTTGAGCCACAGAACCTTAACATTGCTACAGAAGCCTCAGACTACTTCGTAATAACTTGATTCATGGTCTCTGCACAGTTGTATTCTGCTATACTAAATACACCCTAGCAAACCCTCTCCTTGTTTTATCCCATGGGTTCTAGGAACTTCACCCCAAGCCGAACACTTAAGCAGCACCGAATCTCAAGTCAAGGGTTCGAGGGTCATGGTCCAGGGTACTCTGAACCCTATAAAACCCTAAGCCCCAGGCGGGGCAGGCGGACAGAGGCGCATAAACCCAAACAGCCTAAACTCTGAACGTTCTGGTCCCAAAGGGTCCAAAATAGCTTTATAGTCGAATGTAGGGTTTCTATATTAGGAATTACTATTATGACTTAGGGAAGTATCCCCCATAGCAGTACCTAGGATCCTTTGGGGTGTTTCGCGTCCCTAGTGTAAGCATAGTATAAAATTGGGTTTAGGGTTTAGGGGTTTAATAGGGTCTAGGTTTAGTTTTCACGGTCCTCGTGGTCCTAGTCCAATCTTTCAGGTTCCGGTGTTTGACACTGAACCCTACACTCTGCATCCTCTACGACAGAGAGCCCTACGTATAGGATCAGTGTACCTACTCAATCCCAGGTTCAAAGCACAACGGTGGCCTCACAGATGCCCACGACTGGGCCAACACTCTCTGAATCGTTCCACAAGCTGCCGACTACGTCAGAGATGGCAAGAGGCCGGCGATTCGGGTCTGGGGGTTAAGGATTTACATGTCAGGTTTAGGATCGTTTGGGTTGAGTGAACATCCCTTAAATCCCTGCTCCAACTCTTGAGACCTTTCTGTTCGAGAATCACCATTGTGCGACCAAGCCCAGTAAAGAAGGCGAGATCTCCAGTTGCTGGGTTCCGTGTCTTATGAGACTCCTTTGCGAAGTCCTCAGAGAATAGGTCCGTGGCGGCTGTAAGTTCTCTGACTGTGCATGATGCAGAAGTGTGTTCATGCAGTTGAGAAATGCTATAGTCTCTTTTTTTATTCTTGCTCATGTAAAATCCAAGAGAATATTAAACATAGTATGTTCATCATGATTCTAAGGGGGTATAGACTATGGCACAGTCTTCACGAAGGTGAATGCAAAACTGTGTGCAACAGACAGTATTAGGCTTCAGAACTATCCTGATCCCCTGGCTGGTAATTCCTGTTTTGAGCTATATACCTTGACCTTGTTTCCATATGGGAGTTTCCGAAAATAGGGGACCCTAACATAGTGCCCGAAACAGTAGGCTCCTTATTATAAGGACCCCGAATAAGGCGCCCCCAATTTTGGAAACCCCCTTTTGAGGTGATCCTAGTCGATAGCCATAGATCTGCTTCACGCGAGGAAGCACTACATTGGAGAGTGCCTTAATTTACCTTTGGTTAGTAGGGAATGGAAGAATGGTAGTAACAGTAGTTATAATTGTACCCCATTCCTCCATTCCCTACAACCAAAGGTATAAGTAATTTACCATGCCATGCTTTCTTGTGTGGGTCTTTCTGGCTTCAAGTTGTGCTTGACACGAAGATCCTATGAAAAACGTGCCACAAGTCCAAATCGGTTGAGCTAAATCGATAGAGACGGCCCTGCAAAAAAACACGCATCCACGAACCCTGAGCCCTAAACCCTGACCTCGCCAGGCACCACGACTGCGAGATCAGACCCATCAGCTGTGGCTTTGATGATAGTGGGGCAGCTGCGAGGCTCGCCTCCCTGTAATGTCGGAACAAAACTTAGGAAACCCAGGGTCTATAACCCCAAAAGTAGTGGGATTCATATAAGGAACCCTAATAAAGGCCCAAGGTTTCTTAATCAGTTCCAACATTACCTTAAAGCCTTAAAGCCAACAAACTTCCTTAAAGCTCCACTTTGTCACTACCCACTGCGGCCGATGTAACCTAGGAGGGTACTTTATTTTGGGGTCCTTCTAAGAAGGTTCCTACTGTTTAGGGTGCTAAATCAGGGTCCGCTATTTTCGGAAACTCCCACATGAAGTTTCCAGCAGGGCTTAGTGTTCTAGGTGTGCAGCTACAGGCTCTTTCTACCTGCAGTCTCCATTGTAGTTCCTTTTTTTGGTTAACCAGTTTTATGGTTAGGATCGTATAATAGAGATTTTGGTTAACCCAAAAAAGGAACTACAATGGAGACTATAGGTAGGGACTCAGATTGGTTCAGGTCTTCCCTGCATGTCCGACGTCTTACCCTCTCCGGAGCGACCGGGCTAAGCTTCAGGGTCCAAGGCTGAGGGCTCCAAGTTTTAACTATAGCTAGGATGCCCAGTAGTACCCTTATTGCCTTTTGTAGTCCTAGGTTCCTTATAAAGTTACCCAATACCAA